GGGGGGGGGGGAAGAGAAGACATGGATAACTCGATTAAGAAATGTTAGAGAACCAGAGGAAATTATATAGATAATATTGGAATACTATTAAAGGACATACTCTGATTAATTAGGAATCTTAGAGGAAATTGACAAATTCCTTGAAACTCATGTCCTACTCAGATTGACAAGAACAGATAATAGAACACTTGCACAGACCCATTACAAAAAGAATTTGAACAAATCATAAAAAGACTTCCCTGTAAGAAAAGTCATGGACTTTTTTTACCAACCATTCTGAGAGGATCTGTTACCAATTTTACTTAAATTATTTCAAAAAATTATAAGAGAAAGAACATTCCTCAAGTCACTCTATGAAGCATGCATAACCCTAATTCCAAAACCAGGCAAAGCTATTGCTAATACCAAGAAAATAAATGAATATAGATGAAAAAATTCTTAACAAAATCTTAGCCAATGGAATCTGAAAGCACATTAAAAAAATAATTCATCATGACAAAATGGGACTCAAGAGGTAGGCATGGATGGTTCAACAAAAGAAAAACTATCCGTGTAATTCACTGTATTAATAAAGGAAATAACAAGAACATGCGATCTTAGGAATTAATAATTATAACATTCTTCTAAGTAGATAGCACTGGTCTGTCCATTTGCTGTACAGAAGTAACTTGTGGTTGCTGTGATGCTAAACACTGTGACACTGGTATATCAAATGCAATAATGTTTACCTATAGTTCATAGTACTTGGTGGCGCTCCCTGATTAAAACAAGCTTGGAAGCAGGAGTGACATCTACTTCTGATATACCTTGACTCTGGAAACTCTATGAAATTGGAGGAACGATGAAAGTTATACAAGTGTTCAGGTCTTTTGTTCATGGTGTTGCTATGAGTTGTCTATGACTTGACAGTACTTAACAACAACAATGAGAATACTGTGTTGGCCTAGTGGATTGAAAATTTTACTACCAAGCCAAAGGTGGGTGATTTTAATCTGTGGCACTCAGGCCTGGTTTTAATTGTTTTTGATCAGAAGAGGTTCATGATTAGAAGTGACTGAGCTTCTGTTAAGGGTAATGATATAATTTAAAAATTACTGGTGGTGTTTGCACAGCATGATCAATACAGTTAATGTCATTGAGTTGTACGAGTTAAGGGTATTGAAATGTCAAATGTTTGAGATATGCATACCTCCACATACATATACATACACAAAGGGTTACCATGCATCACAGTTGATTCGATGACACCTAACAACTACAATATATACATTTAAAAAGATTTTATCTAGAAAAGTTGGCAAACTAGCCTTCTGGGTCTTATTTGTGCTCAGGATCTTCCCAACCTCCTGTTTCTACCACTTTCAGAGTAAAGACCAGTACCATTCTGTGTGTAAAGAATTGGGATTTCTGTCAGCACCACCCATATGCCTGATGTCTTAGTCCTCTTTCCATAAATAATTTGGAGGTGCTTCCATCTTAGTTGCTGGTGAATTAAAACAAAGCCTGGACACTTCATTTCCAAGTTTACTTACCTTTTGGTTATTTCAGGTCAAAATCAAGCACCTGTTTGCTAGTATCAGACCCCAGGAAACAGCACACAGTGCGCCTTCCTCACAAGCTTCCAGGCATGCACTATAGTGCCAGTGAGCAGTGCCAGATCCTGTTTGGCACCAATGCCACGTTCTGCAGAAACATGGAGGTAAGTGACTTGCCATGGCTGGCTCTGGAAGAGGTGTGGTGTGGTGATTCTTACCCTCTCTCTACATTTCTGACCTTTGTCTGAGAACATGGATATTTTCTATCTGTCTCTGTTTCTCTTTTTCACTTGCACATACACACACACACACACACACAGACACTATTTACCTCTCCTTCTCCATCTACCTCTACCTCTTCATCTCCTCTCCTTCTCTTTCAATCTCTCTTTCATATGTTCATCTACACAGATATGCATATGTACACATTGCCACAAACATTTACTGGTGCATATACCTTTTTATCCTTATCCTGCAGTATTACACACACACACACACACACACACACGCGCGCGTGCGCGCGCGCATTTGCCAATATTTAAGTTATTAATGGAATTGTGAGCTTCATGTTTTAACTTTAAAATTGTAGATAGGACTTATATCCTGATATTTGTACATAAATGTTCTTTGTAGCCTTGGACACAGAAACTAAGATATGCAAATAACCTAAATGTTTATTAATAAGTAGTGAATGTCCATACCATGGAAAATAATTCAGCCATCAGAATTAATGGAGGACTGATCTGCACTTCTGATCCATGTATAGGTTTCACATAAGCACAGTCAAGTGTTCTGAGATTTCCCATTTCTTCAAGATTAACCACAATTTGTTGTGATCCACACAGTCATATTCCTTTGCATCGTCAATGAAACACAGATAGACATTCCTCTTACACTCTTTGCTTTCTGTCAGGATCCATCAGACATTGGCAATAATGTCTTCAGTGCCATGAACTCTTCTTTTTTTTTTAATTAAATTTTATTAGTTTTAATGAACATTTACAGAGATTTTAGGTTTTCATTCATTCATTGTTGCATTGTTTTCTCCACCCTCATCCCCAGTTTGTTCTTCTTCCCCCCCCC